GATAGATAGATAGATAGATAGATAGATAGATAGATAGATAGATAGATAGATAGATAGATAGATAGATAGATAGATAGATAGATAGATAGATAGATAGATGAATGGACGGACGGATCTTTCTCTCCCTTCATGCTGATATTTTCACTTTACTCCTCTGTCCTTCTCTGCCAGTCATTTTTTTCTCCCCTTCACTCTGTTATGCTCACTTTCTCCCTCCTTCCTGTCATGCCATATGGTAGCTTTTTACATGCTTGTAGCACTTTGATGGGATCAGAAAATATATTTCAGTATGCAACACAATTTAACATCATCACAAGTCAACATACTGCAATGATGGTTTTTTTTTTACAGTTTACACTACAATGACAATAAAGGCTATTCTATTCCATTGTATTCTATTCTATGATAATGAAAATAAAAAATAATCAATAACAGAATGCAGTACAATCTATGGTAATAGCTAATCTACGCTAAGTACTGTAGAGCACGAGCATAGTGAGAGGCTGCTAATCAAGTCGCATTAAATACATGTAGTCTCCAGTTATTTTTCACTAAATGTTACAAATACACATAATAATTCGAGACATGTCTTGGTCCCACATGAGGTGCCAGGAAAGGTGTTTAACAAGTGGACACAGCTTGAGTTTAGGGATTTAGTGAGGAAACAAAACATAAGGCTGAGGTAAGTGTGAATACCTAGCTGTGTAAATAGCCCCGTTGTGGAGGCTTTCAATTCCAAACAGTGGGGGAAAACCCATACAATTAATGCTACTAATCTACTGTACGTCTCCCCCCTCAAAATCAGCATCACGTTTGCTGTGACGCCCAACAACGACTTGGGTGATTGATTAAATAGGATATATTTAGAGGTTATTTTGTAACGTAATCTCGTGTACTATTGTTTTACCCTGTGAAAAGACCACACAGCTGAAATGTGACCCATGGACACACCAACTTGTGCTGTCTGAGAGACACACAGCACGGCCATTCAAAATGGCTTCAGTCATATAAAATGTCTCAATATCCCTTTACTATAATGACAGTTTGAAACCACATGCTCCCTCTGTCTGTGGCTTTTATTTATGACCCACTTTAGTGTCCATTCATTTCCTGCCCATACATCTCTCCCACACATTCTCCCCTCTCTTATACCTCACTCTAATCAACTAAATGAAGACTTCTTCTCCTCCTCTTTCTCATTCTTTTATATTTATCTCACCTCAACAACACAACACACGCACAATCAGACAGAGGGAGAGTGAGGGGGAGACAAGGTCGTTGTCACACCATGTAAAGAGTGAATGTGAAAGCATCATCTAAGCTAATTAATGACATTATCCCACGGCCTTAAACTGTCTGGTTTGCTAGAAGCCACGCTGAAAACATCAGACTGTTACATCATTTCCTTATATTCAACTCAAGGTGACATGAATATGAGGCACCGGAAGTTTCCGAAAACAGTGTACAGCAATGTGCTCGTTAGCTTCGGTTCACAAATGAATATATTTCAAATGGCTACTTTATACACGAGGGCGTCAGCACATATTTCTGTTGACATACAGAGACCTCTAGTGGTACTGATGGGTTATTGCCAATTTATTTTAAGGAATCGCAATGATAAATAGAATAGAAACCATTGGTGGCTAAGGCTTACATGATGTTTAGTCAGGTTAGTGTATTAGTGTACATTACTTTCTGTTTCCAAATCGATGTTAGGCTCATATTTGACTGTGACACATGCTGTTTGGTTAAAAAAAAAGAGGAAAGTTTTAAACCTGCTAATCCCACACGACTATAGACAGAGGCAGAGAAAGAAGACAGTGAAACAGAAAAGAGAATCAAATAGCATGTATTCATGAGAAACCCATGACAGAGCATAACCACAGGCTGGTAAATTTAAAGAATTCTGTTTCTTGAACTGTAAAAATATATATGTTTAAAGTTCTGGGAAATAAGGTGATAAAAATCATTAAATAGAACATCCAGCAAACACTTCTAAATATAGAAGTTGTGCACAATCTGATAAAAAGAAGAACTTGTTAACAGGAACTCTAAACGCTTACTCACAGAGATCATTTGGCAGAGCTGAGAAAAAGAAGTTATTGTTTCCATTTTGAACAACTGCCCTGAACCCTTTTAGGTCATGTGACCAAAGGTGTTAGGTTTTTCAGTTAATGGCTGCTGGTGTAAAAAAAAAAGAAAAGAGTGAAAACCACAACGTGGCCACCACACAAAAAGCCCTGACTGATGAAAAGTGTAAACATGAATAGTGTTCAGTAAGAGAAGTATTTAAAAAAAAATAACAATTTATGCAAACACTAATATAATAAAATATATTTTCATAACACAACAGACCAAGTTGTTTGTTCTCAAAGAGCTACATTTACAAGATGATTTAAAGTTTGGACATTTTTACATTTTGGTGAATTTAAACCCAACAACTTTTGTAACAGTCCTCTGTCCTGTAATCATACAAGTTTTTATGATTTTCCCCTACCTCTGAATTACACAAAATATTAACTTAAAAGTTCATTTGAGTTGACTTGTCTTACATTGTCCTATGTTGACTTGAGGTTTCTACTAATATTAAATTCTTACTATGTTTGTAAGACACAAAAACAGGACATGTTCAATGACAAATGTTCTGAGAAATTTTTTTAAGTGTGGTGTGTTTCCATTAATTAGAGTGGAGTACATAAAGTTTAACAATTCCCTTGCTGCAGGGTTTTGACTATCACTTTGCTGTTTGGAATCTTTGGATCTCTCCAACACTGTGTGATCCCACTGAGGGTGGGGAGTTGGAACATTTTGAAGGGCCAGATGAGAAGACCCTGTTTACTCTTGTGAACAAATCCAAACTTTACCGTGACAGTAAAGATGTAAACAACTTGGGTCATGGCGGAAATTATGGCCATTATGCCAAAATAAACACAGGATTAAGACTCATGCAGATAGTTCGATAGGAGCCGAAGGTGGTGGTGGTGGGGGGGGGGGTCATTCACACACATTTTTTGCACCAGCATAATCAAAAACTTAGTGTTTGGAGTGAGAGGATATAAATATACAGTATAAAAGGTGACGCCCACTGCACTTCCTGTACTCAAATTAAGTGACTGGTTTCTGCTTCTAATACACAGGGAAAAAAAATCTACAAAAACATATCTAAACTTGTATTCAACATGTATTCAAGTCTCCAAAAATGAAAACTGCCTGTATTCTCAAAATAAAATTCAATCCAATGTAATTTAGCATCAGAATAAAGTCTAAAGTTGTTAAATAAATAACCAAACCAAAAAAAAAGTTTTTTTTTGCACAGTTAGATGTTGCCTGGGGCCACATGGCATTCGACATAGTAAAAGGACAAACACAGTATTGAGTCATTTTAATGTCTATAATAATGTAAGATTTGTAGATTTTATTTGTGCCACTGGATAAACCACAGTCAACCAAGGTAAAAGGATGTGTCATCCTACATCAAACTGCAGCAACAGTATTAGGGGATGTTTAAAACCTAAATATACTGACAGTGTAAAAAGAGGAAGGAACACATAATTTGCACAAAGAATTACCCGACCTACAAGTTCCCCTGTTAATGCAATGACAGGGGAACTACTACAAAGTGTTGCCACTGTGATATGACACCCATACGAGAAGTCCAGAAATCCACTTCACTTATTAAAACTATGCCATTCAAACTGCTACTTATTCCATCAACACATGCAAGTTTAGCATTGTTAATTTTTGACGTTTCAATGACCTCATCCAAAAAATATAAAGCTGTCTACAAAACTCTTTGAATATCAATCAAACTGACGGAACATGGACAAACTTCAGACAAGCATTTACAAAAAATGCAGTGTTTACAGCAGTTAAAAGACACCAAGAGAGAAAGTCCTCCCACAAAGAACCTCCCCTCCTCCCCCTACAAGTATGCAGCTAAAATCCCTAGAGGATTACAAAACATTTATTTGGTAAACAGTGGGTCATGGTGACCAGTTCATATCATTTTCATCTCTGTTCGCCATTATCAGCAAGATGTTATGAAACTGTCCAACATGAAATCATGTGCTATTTAAAGGTCGGAGCCCACGATTTAGCACATATGCGCTAAATACTTGTAAATGCTGCATGGACACTCATCTCAAATAAGGAAAATTCTTGTTAGGAGCTGTTCATTACACACAAAGGGTTCACTCCTACTGAACAGGGTGAATATACTGTAAATATATGATATTCAGTCATTAAGCAATCGACCACTCAACGCAACATCATACAGGTGCACTGTTTAGCATAGCTGGCAGTCAGTAAAGAGAGTAACTGACATTCAGTAACTGAAGGAGAGGGCAGGAAGTCACGCAGACTGAATGGATAAATAATGGAGGAAAAAAATGGGAATAACGACATAAGGACAAGAGTGATAAACAAAGACCAGTGTGTGAGTGTGAGTGTGTGTGTGTGTGTCGGGTGGGAGTGTGTTTCATAGGTTGAAGAAACCCACAGTTTCTCAGTAATAACAAGAACTGTTACAGTTCCAGGCATTTTGTTTTGTACTATATATGTACTAATATTTCACATCATGACATAAAATGTTATCAACAATAATTCCCTCTTTACTCTGACAACAAATTTAAAACATATCAGCCCTTGCAGTTGCAATTGTAATTTATTTATATATAAATGTAATCTTAGTACTACGGTACCTTTGTTATTTGGCACTTTTATCGCTAATTCACTGTAAAAAAAAAAAAATCTTTCTGGGAGCATATGAATGACTAGAGCGGTTTCTTTGATTTGCTAACCAGACCTGTCCAACAGGAAGTAACATAATAAGAGAAACTGGATCTTTCTAATTTTATTCCTGGTATTTTTTTAAATCTCTGTTAACATATTAATCCAATACAGAGACAAGTAAGGACTATATGCATTCTGCTATGCTATGCAAAATCATAGCATCCGTAATTTTGATATGAACATCTTATAGTCAGTTATTTTCTGTATAGTCTGAAGGGTCTGAATTCTATACCACCAAGTCTCCAAAGCCTAGGTTGGGTTATGCCAGAAAAGGCATGGCAAATTACTGCGCATAATACTGATAAAAAGGGACAATCGCAAAGTTAATATTTCTTTAAAATACATTGCCAAATATTCTTGTGATTATTGTTTTACCTCTACTTAAGAATGTGGAGTCATGTTAATTTTAAACATGCAAAAAAATATAAAAAATGTCCAATGGACCCCTTAGTTGGGGTATGGACCCCTTGTGAATGACAACTGGTGTAGACAGTAATAAAAGTTTTGCATATCAGTCCTTTATGCCATGCTACAGTGAATAGGTTAGATGGACATAAAGGTTTATATCTGGGTGATGTATAAATAAAATGTGTCTAAGTGTCTCTAACTTTAGGGAGCTGTTCCTGTTGTGTATATAAATGTAAAAAATACTTCCATTGACTCAATAGTGTCTGATAACAGGAACTCAGAGGCATTTCTTTGAAGCAGATGAGGTCATCCAATGATTTGAAGGAAGTTTCCAACCAAAATTTGCATGTGCATGCTATTGGGATTAGGACACATTCCTTCATCCTGATTGGACAGTCAGGTGAAGACTGTGTAATGGCTCTTAATTAATCTCTGCATGACCGCTCAGCCCTTTCTTCCTTTTTAGTGATCAGACATTGACAACTGACACTAGCAAAATGAGCCAAAAAAGAAAGGTAAAAGAGGGAGCATTTGCACCAACTAGTTTTCTAACACATACTATACAACTGTAAAATGAAAATGTGTTGAGGGTGGGCACCCACCTTTCCCATGTCTGTGAGGACAAGGAGTCAGGGTCATGGTTTGTACAATCTAGAAGATAATCTTTAGAAAATGTATTTAACATATATACTATATATATTTCTGAAGAATGACTTTCTATGTAAGCCTTCCTGTATGGGGTAGTCTAATGTCCTCTCACAGTAACACAGAGATTTTGGTTAAGGTTAACTGGAAGCTCTTAATTAACCATGCGTATGAAACACAGTAGCAGTTGTATGGCTCTATTTGTGGTACTGGTACTAATACGTATTGAAACTCAGAGTGAAAATGTAATCTACATTTTTTATTTTAGAAATAGATTTTGTTTTACTATTAGAGCTGTTTGAGTTTAATTCAGTGTTCCATGAATCTTTATATTTTTAGTTTTAAAAAGTGGTACTCATATATACAATTAATATCATTATTAATAATAATTATTTTAAATTCTACTTCTATAACTTTTCAATTTTTAAATTGAAATTATTTTGCAACGTATCAAATTGCAACAAAAACTCTTTATTTTCTACCGAGGCGTAAGGGGGATTTTTTGGCCCAGGGCGCCAACTAGGCTAGGAGCGCCACTGGTCGGCGGCGTTTTGTAGCACGACTGGGGAACTGAGGATGAGAGGAGTGTCACACTTCACCAAACTTCCCGTCTTCTGCTCCTCCCTGTTAGAGACCAGAACTCTTTAACAGTCCTCCACTCTTTCTTTCGGACTTCTCCTCATGTGGTAATTGTCTGAATCAGAGACTTGGAGTTTTTTTTCTTCTTTCTCTCGGTTTTATATCAGTAAAGTTTGGGCATGACAAGGCTCAGGTAGTAGAAGAAACGGCTAAAAGAGTCTAGAAACATCTCAAAGTCAGCCATGCGCCTCAGCGTCTTTCTGGGCTCTCTGCTGATCTTCAGCGCGTTACTCGATAAGGTAAGAAAGAGTCCATACATCCAGCAAACTTCCAAAATGTTGGGTTTGAAAGTTGGCCGGGAGTTTTGTTCAGTTTTTATATGTGTGAGTGTGTTCATGGAGCACCTGCGCACCTGTTGCTGGACGGTGACCTCAGAAAACTTCAGTTTGAAACTTGAAGCTTTAATTAAACACAGATATTTAGATATATAATTTAGGCAGAACTTTTGTGTTGTGGAATGACGGAGGAATACATTATTATTATTAATAGTGTTTTTGTAAAGCCCCACAGTCAGACTCTCTACAGTTGGGCTTTTACTTTGAAGCCCTCTGTTAAAGGTGTAAACACTGGCGGTAAGTTACTCTCAGGTAGGCCAATTATATACAATATAATAAATAGGATAAATAATAAATATAACGTTTTAACAAATAATGATTTATTAATATAAGTAAAATGTTTAAAAATATTTTTACAAACTTGAAAGAGTCTATCGATAAGTATTGCTCTTTAAACGAGGCATATACAAAAAATGTCTATTTCCTTATTTATTTTGGCGTGCCACTGTCACAAAGAATAACAGGAGTGCATATGACATTGCAAATGAACTGTGGATTTTGGATGTGGAATCAGAAGTCGCTGATGCTGTCATATTTTTGGTTATTTTCCTTTTGTTTGCTTCCTGTTTTTTCAATCTTTTCTTCTTTTAATTATTAACCTTCAAAAGCTCAGGTCAGCTTGTTCAGTATGAAAATACCACACATTCATAAGAGCAAAGTCCAAACAGGTACAGTCGCAGATGTCCAGCCGTGTCAGACCCACCTGTCCTCGCAACACTGGTCCTTCTTGTCATTCTTGGGGGAGGAGGGAGGGCATGTATTAAGTGAGTTGGAGAGGTTGAGAATGGCATGTGAGGATGTGTGTGGTCAATAAAAAGGTCAAGAATGGAATGAGGCACAGCCCAATGTCCCCTCTGTCCTTTTCTGTTGCCTTGAGGAACACAGTGTCAAACATGCACCTGACCAGCCGAGTGTGTTTTCAGTGTAGGCTGATTACCTAGATTAACAGACCCAACACTTTCATTTGAGTACATTTTTTGTAAAACTGGAATAAAACCGGCTCTGACACCTGGAAACACTTGACTGTGGAATGATTGACATTCTAATTTTCTATTGAAATGCATTGATGCCCGCTCTGACCCTTTATAACTTCACCCTAACACAGAGGCAAAAGGGAAAAAAATATTTTGAACAAAATGATACTTTTTACACAACTATTTTAAGAAAAAGGAACGTAATAATTTTGAAATTAACTGCAGCTGGTCCAAATACCTCAGTTTTACAAATTAAAATATCCTATTGAGTCTGTGGAACTGAGTAATTTGAACTATTAATAGTCCAGAATTAATAGCTTGAGCATGTCACGCCTTTAATCGATCTTGAATTTATTTATAAAAAAGGATTTGGGGTGAATACTAACTGTAAAACACACCAGTTATAATTTCTGTGGAGGAAGATATAATCTTAACATACTGCTGGTAGGTATTTTTTAAGATAACATTGCATGCCTATTTTCAGTGTTAAATCTTAAAATAATCAACCTGAAAGAAATACATAATGGAGGTGAAAGATGCGCAGTAGTGCTTTCCTTATCTTTTTTGATGAAGAACCTAAATGAAAAAGCCATTTTTGAAACAGTTTGACAAGTTATTTATTTATAGTATTTTGTCTCTCTTTCAGTTCTTATAATGCACCATGCATAACATCAATCCAAAAGATGAAAGACAAAATAGCTTTTCCATTTGACAACAGAGCTACACATAGAGATTATTGATTCTGCTAATTTAACAATACCCGGTAACTTTTAAAAAAAGAAAGTTAAATATGTTCACAGTGACATTCCTGCATTCGTGCAAGAACTGAAAAGTTTGAAAAATGAAACAATTTTCCCGACACAATGTAAAATGGATTAATCCATTCCTTGACCCTGGGTGATTGCTTATTCAAACTGTTTCAACAGTATTTTGTGTAGTTTATACACAAAATCATTAGAGCTAGCAAAAAAGGATAAACACAACTGAATAAAGAATAAAGTTTTAATAGGAGGAGTTGTGATGGTGCAAGTGGAGGGTGGTGAGGAGGTGAAAGGGAGGGGATGTTATTGTTTGGAAGCTAGATCTGAAACACAAGCACCATTCTCATGCTTTCTTATAACCTCTTTCTTCACTTCTATTGTTGTTCTCACTATTTTTCTTTCTGCCTTTCCACTTTCACTAGCTGTTTTATATTGGCAAAAATCAGACAACGGTTCCCAGCGAGTATACTCTAGCTGAGGCAAGGCTGACGCCACACGCTCAGTCATCTAGTGATTACGTGCTGCCCGTGTGGTATTATTGGCTTGTACGGCAACCGAGTAATGGTACGATAACCGGGGCAATTTTTAGTTAAAAATTTGGTTTTCGCCATCCGATTTGTTCGAAATAGGAGCCATTCAACAACCAAGTTTCCACTGTATTTGACAGAGTAGCACTTTTGAATTTGTCTAAAACAGTGGTGTCAGCAATACGCTTCTCCTTGAAGGTCCAGTACCAGTCCATAGGTCATTTGGCACACAGTGAAAAAAATTGACTTAATTTTTACTAATTTACTTCATTCAAAGAAAATTCAGTCATATCTATTTACTTTCTTTATTTAAACACCATCTGGTAATACTTTAAAATAATATGTCATTCAGACTGTGATACAAACAGAATAGAGCCTAAAAGATGTTTTATTTATTATTTATGCTCAGCACCTTGCTACTAGTCTGTAGTAACGGGTGGTACTGGCTGACTGGTCCTTGGAACAAGAAAGGTTGGGGGCCGCTGGTATAGATGTAACTACTCCATAACAGACTAATACATGTTTCTGCAATTGATTATTATTTATTCAAGCTACAAATATTGTTCATTGCTGTTTAATAAAACAACCTTTTAATTACTTAAGATCCTCTGCTGCATGGACTTAACTTATTGCTTCTTAAGCTCCCGCAGGCCACACAAAACGACTTGGCGTGCTGCATTTGGCCCCCGGGCCTTGAGTTTGACACGTATGGTCTAAAGCAAGAACAGCAGCTCATTGTCATGTTGGAGAGAAATGTGTTAAGGTTGCAATGTTATTAATAATAAATATAATAATAAAAAATGAATATGACTAGAACAAATGTAAATTTGTAAATGTCATTTGTTTATAAGAACATTGGGACCTAAAAAAAGCTAGGACAAAGAAGTTCACATGGGAAAAGAGGAAGTACTGTGCACTTCTCTGATATGACATGACAGTTTTGCATATTGACATTTTCCATGTTCTGTTTAGAAAAATACATTTATAAACACCCACAGAGATAAGCCTGAAAATAAAATATTATTAGGAACATTTTTTTTTTGTCAGTTTAAATTTAACTTCCTCCTTGAAATCTCTCTCTCTCTCTCTATCTATGTATATGTGTGTGGATGTATTATATACGGATGTATATATACTGTACTTATAAACTGTATGTACATATATATGTGTATATGTGTTTAAGATTTTCCTTTAACAACAGAGCACTGCACTTTAACAAAATAACACAGTACTTCAGTATGAATGCAGTTGCTTCATACTTCAGTTGCATACTGAAGTTGCTTCAGTATGAAGCAAACACCCAACACACAAACACACACACAGACACACACACACACTGTCGAAGTGTCAAAAATTCCACAAATACAGTTGAAAAAAAGAAAGAAAAACAAAGTACCTAAAGAATAAATATCCAAGCAAGTAGTATTGCGTTGTTTTATAAACTTGTAGGAAGTTATTTCAACAAAATAAATGCACATTAGGGTCCAAATAGTTTATATAGGGTTTCTAAACTTTATAATATTGGTTAGATTTTGAATGTAATACACAACTACAAAGGCACTAAAACAAACAGCACTTAATGTACATCTGAATCTGAATAAATCTGAATAAATGGAGTCTTTGATTTGCTAACCAGACTTGTCCAACAGGACAGGAAGTTATAGAATATGAGAAACTGGAACCTTCTCTAATTTTATTCCTATATTTTTTAAAATCTCTGTTAACATATTATTCCAATACAGAGGCAATGCATTAGAGTACTAGTTTTTGTTTTACATTTGATACGGATAGGTGACCCATTGGAGTTAAACCTGTGTCTTTGATCAGGGAATATATGTGTTCTATGCTAAGGCTGAACTTAAGTTTAAGTTTGATTACAAACTGAAATTGATTTAACATAAGCCCATATATCTTGCCACTCTGTAAAATCAATTTCAACACAAAGTTCTCTCTCTCTAAGCTCTTGTAGTGCCATTGATGACACACTGCACACAGTTCCATGAAGAAGACTAATGTAATTTTCTGAGTTGTTCCAAACAACACTTTTTAAGAGAAGAAATACTGTGGTTAGCTAAAGTTGTGCAGTGTACAAAATAGTGTCTTAAATGTGGGGATCTTATATTTTTCACTAACTGATCAAATTACATTATGTTAATATTAACCAAATCTATCAACGTAACTTGTCTAATCTTTTTTTAAAGAAAGACCTTCTAGATTGACTTGTTGAGAGTGTGGTTGTGTAATGTGTGTTTAACAGACTCACTCACAAAATCAATTATTTTTTCCTCTCAGCACACAGCATTTGTTGATCTAAGTTTAATGTGTGAAATCAAAGTGACGTCAGTGTTTAAAGATTATCAAATGTACTTGATAACACAGAGAGTCTGTTATTCTGCTGACATGATTTTAAACCTTTGATTTCCTTGAAACTTGATCTCATAATTAGGTCAATTTTAGAAAATGGAATTTTAGATTTCTTTCATCTTTTTGTCTCTCAGACATTGTTCCTCCTGTTATTTGTGTTACATTTTCACAAGTTCAAAATCCTTTATATATATATATATATATATATATATATATATATATTCATGTGAGGTCAAAAAAGTGTTGTAGAAAAGGCATTGTAAGTAGACACCTAGTAACAACACAGGAAGAACACAAAACTTTGCATGGATTTTCAATGGTTCAAAATTTCCTTTGTGTTTATTTCTCGGGCTATGGTATTAACACAGCCTGTAGAAAAAAAGATCACAATGACGCGACTATCATCCCTCCTGGAAAGAAATGTAACGTTTTCTGAGAAAACAGAGACTGAGCCACAGTATCTTTTTGGCTCCATGCGTGTCTAATGACTTGTGCTTTTCTAAAATGTCACTGACGTTCTTTGCTCATCTGAACACAGGCTTTTTCTTTTTCTAACATGTATTCTGCTCACTGTATCCCCACCAGCCTTCTAGTTTTGCATGCAGTTATTTTAATACAGTTCAAGTTTCAAATCAAGTCCTCACTTGTTGAATAGTGAACCTTTCGCCCACCCGTAGCCCTGATTCAACCATAGTACAACTGTCCAGTTCAAACTTAACATCCAAAAACATGCTGTCTCCAACTAGGGCTTTAGTGGAAAGTTAAGCATCTACAAGATGAATTACAAAGAGTCACAGTTCCCCAAACATGTAAATGAGACACAGACTTCTCTTCCTGACTCAAAGCCCTCTTTGTGAACACACTGCTATCATTTTATCAGTGACCTCTTCTAAAACCTGGCAACAGTATTAGGAAGTTTAAATGACCAGTGTGTTGTACTCAGATTAGCATCATTTAGGTCTTTGATGCTCCAAGTGCACATTGGTACCAACATATCTCACATCACTTATTTCCATAACTTTTGATACGACCTGTGATAAGCAACAGCAGCAACAGGACTAAACATTAACACCTGGAGACCGAGTCACACTGATGATTTTACTGTATGTGCCTGTATTTCTGGGGCAGTGCTAGTTTACAGACATGATGATTTTATTTAACATGGCTATTGTGGGTATTAACTTATGGGGTGTGTGCTATTTACATAAAAAGCTCTCTGACTCATATTATCATTTATTATTTGAAAAAATATAAAAGCACTCTTAAATTGATCATTGTTAACCTAGCCTTGGTAAATCAAGAGTTTTATCAAATACATATAAAGAGGATACTTGTTCCTAAATATTTTAGCCTGGTCTCATACTAACATGGCAACAAGGAGTCAAAAATCCTTCATGTTGTGGGTGTGCTATCAGAAGTTTCTGGGTGGGTACAGGAAGTGCCAGGATGTGATGTTAAAGCAGAAACAATAAGTAAGTTGTTCATGAGAAACTCCTTACATAAAGCTACACACAAATTTCAAAGAAAATGCAACGACTGGGGAAGCTGGACATATCTCCATATTTACCACATATATCACATTATTAGTTCTACAGTGACAATGTTCAGTGGAAAATATAAGAAGGGCACAAACAATGATATTCAACAGCTCTAATTTTATTTTTCATTTTGTTTTCTTGTACCAGTATCTAGTACAAGTTTTCGTACATGTGACCTATAATGTTTTGGCTACGTACCTATTATTGTCTAAAACATATTCATTCAAATTTCCCAAAAATGTACCATAGCTAGAGTTTTTATAGCAGGGGTCACCTGCGTGGTGCCCGGGGGCATCTGGTAGCGTCTGTGGACTATCTAAGGTGCCCACGGGGCATGTTCCAGGAATAAAACTAGTCAACAAGAGGGTCAAAAATTGTACTGTTACTGTGCTTTTTGAATCAGTTACACTTGTAATGATATTCAATAATGAGATGAGTGCAGTGACATGGTAAGAAGAGTGTCTACTATTGTATCTCCCAGAACTAACTATTATTACATTGGTCAGGAAGTGTGTATCAAACAAGTAGCTCTTCGTATGACTAAGTGCACTTGAAGTCGCTCTCGGTTTCAAAAAGGTTGGAGAACCCTGTTTTAGAGCCATTTGCTGCCCCCTGGTGGAAAACTATTTCTTTGCATGTCACTGATATTAAAAAAGACAAATTATTTGCACTAAATTATAAAATACTTTCACACCGAATAAGGCAATTGACCACACCTGATGATCTCTTGGTGTACCACGGTGTACAGTGATTAGGAATCTCTTGGCCAGATATTAAAATAAATTTAAGGATAATTCTGCAGAATGGTCCATAATGTGCCCTAAACAAAATAAATTTTCTCATGTCACAAAATTAAGTTAGGCAACACACATGGAGTACACAGAATTCCTTAAAAGAAGCATTACACAATCATTGTAGATTTCACAGATGTTTTTATTCTTTGAGCATAGTCAAAAACGACACTAGCATCGGTCACTTACATATCTGGGCATTATCCAAGGATCAGGAATCCAGCATTGTGTATTTTTCCTGTTTTTGACCATGTTATCAGATTATCAGTTAGTCAGCTCAATGCTTATATATTTTTTATTGTGTTTGAGTTTGTGTGTTATGGTGGAGAAAGGAACTTGGAGCTTTATCAGGTGAGGCATATTGTGGTATGAATAAAAAGGAACCAGTGATTGGTGCACGGCCTCTCTTGAGGGTGATGTAGTGTTGAAATTACGGTCTGATCACCCATTTCCTTCCTTTTCTACAGATAATTCCGGTCAAAGGACAGAGATGTAGTGAGGGGTCAAAAGGGCTGGTGGCTGAGTCTCAGTAAAATGATCTAAATGTGCTCTATGTAAAACACTGAAGAGATGCAACAGTTAGCCTGGTTACTGGTTACTTTAGTACAAGCATGTGTTTTTGAGACTCATCTAACCTTTATGACTATGTTTTTTTCTGTTGGTGAAAAAATATCTGTTCATCTTTTTGTTTTTTATGGCTGAAGTTCCTACAAGGAACTCAAGGAATTGGTTGTTTTTGTGTGAACAATTTTCCGACTCCAACTTTTTTCTAACCTTACTGAAAGGCTTTTACTGTAACTCAGAGCTCAACATACAACCAGCCAGATTCTGGTCCTTGTTGTTACACCTCACAGCACACTTTGACAAGGTCATCAATTCCCAGCATTATTGTATCAGGTTTTCACTATCAAAAGAAAAAAAAAATATATTCAAATAATACATTATTATACTTAAATGTACATGTAGTTGTTGTCGGTGTAATCAGTGTATTTAAGAACAATTAAGAGACCAAAATAAAACACCAGGAAAAATTGGGGGAGGAAAATCTTTTTGTGTGGTCTTAGCTTTTTTATCTAAAATAAAACTGGATTGCAACACTTTCTCTAATGCATCGAATGTTTGGTGTGATCTTGATGGCAGTTAATAATTGTCCATGTGATCTTTTCACAGGTGAGAGTTGTGCATTTTTAAGTGATATAGTCATGTAGTTAATGTTTAGACAGCAAGCAGACAGAAAAAAAGCCCACATGCCAGTGTGTGTGACTGTGAGCTGTTTAAGTTTTGGCTAATAAGTAATTTATAAATCAGAGCCTTAGTAGGAACACGATTTAGTCTGTAGACTTAACGGTTATGTTATGTTGCCAGAACACAGATGCATTTAAAAAAATGCAAAACAAACATCTTTATAATGGTGATGCAAATCTAGCTTAACTGCTTTTAGCATCTAACAGTAATGATAAAGTTCTTCCTACAATTGTACTGTTTGAACTGTTACAGATTGTACAACTGTGTTCTATGTATTTATTGTATTTTAGTGTCTGCTCCTACTTTTTTCCATCCCTCCCTTCTTTTCTTCCCCCTTAAGTGCAGAGCCCTTTCTCTCCTGAACACTGAACACTAAACCTGGTTCTGCTGGAACTTTCTTCCTGATTAAAGTTTTTTCACCCCACCATTGCCAAAATACATGCTCAATTTAATTTGCGTTTCTATAATATTAGTGAAATTTATTCTGATTTACTTTGTTTATTGTATATATATTGTTTTTGCTTTATGGAAATGACATTTTTATTGTTTTTATCTCCACAGAATCCCATGGCAGCATGTGATAGTAAGTATATATTTCTGTAAAACTAGTACTGCTATTACTGCTGCTACTACTACATATGGTAGTAGTTCTGTTACTGTTATGAGGAATGTTAGTACCTCGAGTCCTATAGCTACTGATATGATTTTCAGCCACTTAAAGTGGGGTGAATTAATGTTTAATGTCTGTATTTTTTAAAGCCACCTAAAAATGTTCATAAAATTGTTTTGTATCCTATGTCTTCATGTCTTTTAGAAAGAAGATGTCTATACAATGAAACGGAAACTTTATCGACAACAACAACAACAGTCATTTTTCGATCATTAAACTGCAATTTGTCCATTGACAATTATTTAAATGGAACAGGCAATCTTACTGGTTTGAATCCTGGAACTGTGTATGACATCGCAATACTATGTCTGTACTGCTGTCAAGAGGTCACTATGAGTAAGTTTATTCAATTCCATTTGTGAATGACCGTATATGAATGGTTTAGAGTGTGAATTTCTGAAGAAGAGGCATGTTGACATTGATACAGTTTTGCTGTAGTTAAAAACTGAATGACAAATGACAATGTCAGGACCTGAAACAACTAGCCGAAGTGAAGAAAGATTCTCATTGATTATATAACATATGGTCTCTGAACTGGACTGAACCTGTTATTACTTTGTCTCCCTCCACTCACCCACAGAGCCAGACACTGTCAGAAACCTCCAGGTCATTAATGTCACCACATCCTCTGTCTCTGTGAACTGGACTGAACCAGTTGGAAACAGCTCTTTCTATAGAGTTGACTGGACAGATGGTTATTTCAGTGACAGTTCAAACGTGTCTGTCACATATATTACTATAGAGAACATGACTGCTGGTGTGCAGTATAACATCAGTGTGACTGCAGTGGCAGGTGATGGTCACACTGGTGGTCAGAGCACCGTGGTTGTACAATACACAAGTGAGTGAGTTTTAGCTGAGGACACCTAGTGGGGAAAAGTTTGTAGTGATGGCAAAGCTGATTCAAATTATACTTTTTATGACACAATTCTAATTGGTAGTTAAGAAGATTAGAATTTACAGACAAGGAGTTTTTTCTTTAATTATTTTATCAAGACAGTGATGTTAACAAGAAATAATGACGTATCCAACTGAGTGCAAGACGTCAGGTGGCATAAACACTAAAGTTTAGAGTAGACTATTGTGTCTTTCCATGCAAAGTATTATAGAACTACATAATGAGGTAAACTTTGTAAAAATAGATACAAGGGAAATATTGTAGAACAATCACAAAGTACCTCAGAGTGTCATTTTATAATCTCTAAACCTTAATCCTGCTAGTCATCTGAACAATTGTCCATGTTCATAATAATATGTGAACATACATAAAGTACTTACAAGTACAATATTCTTTCACCGTTGAAAAGTACATCCAAAAGTATCTCCACTGGATGTAATTCTAAATTTTCCTAGAAAATATTTTGAAACTCTGCTTTCACTGTTCCCTGTCTTTTTCTTTAGAACCAGGAATAATTGGTCCACTTAGTATGACATCATACACTTCCTCCATTTCTCTGAGCTGGATGCCTCCTACTGGTCAGGTGGCTATGTACAGGTTGGAGTGGGACAATGGTAGAGAACCAATGAACAGAACCATAAATGACACCTCTGCTCTGCTGTCAGACCTGATCTCTGGAACAAACTACACAATCACAATCAGAGCTATTGCTGCAGATAACACAACACAAGGAGACCCCGTCACTGTCTCCACATTCACAAGTAAGTCCATTTTTACTTATGTCTTCTATGTCCTCACGGTAATGTTAGTGAAAGTTTTAATCATAGAGAATTTCTCTTTGTGATGTTTAATCAAATCAATATTAGTCATCAAAACATAGGAATAATTGGTCCACTTAGTATGACATCATACACTTCCTCCATTTCTCTGAGCTGGATGCCTCCTACTGGTCAGGTGGCTATGTACAGGTTGGAGTGGGACAATGGTAGAGAACCAATGAACAGAACCATAAATGACACCTCTGCTCTGCTGTCAGACCTGATCTCTGGAACAAACTACACAATCACAATCAGAGCTATTGCTGCAGATAACACAACACAAGGAGACCCCGTCACTGTCTCCACATTCACAAGTAAGTCCATTTGTCTTACTGTCTTCTATGTCCTGACGGTAATGTTAGTGAAAGTTTTAATCATAGAGAATTTCTCTTTGTGATGTTTAATCAAATCAATAGTAGTCATCAAACAATATTAGTCATCAAAACATTCTTACCAATTTGTTCTCTGATCCTCCACGATGATGATGGTGTGACCTCTGCCCTCTGAGTTAAGCAATTCCATCTTAGAAAAACTTTACAGGAAGACCAGTACTTGTTTTTTATTAATGGTGATGAAGACAAGTGATGAAGTCGTACTACTTTTGTTTTGGCTCGTTTCATTATTTCTGCTCTTCATCTTTATGTTAATCCTCCCT